CCCGCACCGGGGCATTGTGGGAAACTCCGTGCCTCCACTCCCCCTCCCTGACCAATCAGAGGCCACCTCCCTCCGTCTCCCCTCTCCCTCCCGCCTGCAAACCCGCGCCCTCCCGCCCCCCTGGCCTTTTCCTAAATCGAGAGCACGAGCCAGGGACAAACCTGAACTCTGCCTTGAGGCGCCAGGTCGCCAGAGAGGTGGACATAAGGGAAGGGATGTGGAGCCGCTGGGCTGGGGGCGCTGGGCGCGGACACAGGCAGCAGGAGAGGAGAGCGCCAGAGGGAAACTCAGAGGAAAGCGTGCCGCGCCCCGATTAATACACGAGGAAGTCGAGACCGGGAAGGAAGAGGTGCACTGCCCAGGCGACCCGCCCGGGAGCCATACCGCCCACCTTGGTCCCTGTACCCTGATGCCGGATGCCCGGGGCAGCGTTTTCCCCACCACAGCTCCCCGGCCATGCAGAGTTGGAGCCTGGCAGAATCCGCCCTACGGGGGAAAGGAGGGGAATGCAGCGGGAGCGTGGTCGGTGCGAACCTGGGAGACAATTCGTGCGCAGGGTACATTAAGGGGTGAGGAGGAGGTCAAGTTTAGGATGCGGGAGAAGCGCCTTCACTCCTCTCTCAGGGTAGTGCTGGACCTCTGTATCCCTGAATCCTCCAGCCCAGCGCCTTCCTTACACATAAAAGGCTCTTTCTAAACAGCTTATAATAGATTGAACCGGATCACAAGGCCCCTCAGTGAAGTAGAAAAACTGGAGAATACAGGAGGCAGAGTGAGGACGCGATTGCTGGGTGCTGCTGCCGCGTCACAGCAGGGAGGAGAGGACGAGCTCGCCGCCCGAGGAGGGGCTTCCAACCTCTCCGGACCCCGCTGCTGAAACACAAATAAGCTTGCTGTCAGTATCTGCAGATTTAATTGTCCACCGGACTTCTGGTTTTGTTTCTCAGATTATAAAAAACTCTATGAGGTTTGAATGATGTGCTACAAAGTGTGAGACAGTTTTCCAAATTAGGAATTTCCACACAAGAATTACTGCTGTCAACCAACACGATTAAGATTCATACTTAAGGCTAAGTGTAGTAACCAAGATAGATGCGTCCAAAGACGTGCCAGGAGAGAACCAGACCAGTGAAGAATTTCAGGTCGGTGTTGCACGACCCCAAACTAGTTGCTTTGGTTCCCCCCCGCCTTTATTTTCTCATGACTAGAATTAGGAGATTGAACAAAATACCTCAGATCTCTCCCAACTCACATTCTGTAACTCTCCTCATATGTACCTTATAATAAGCCAATGGTCAGGGCTTACTACAGATACAAGAATATCTAGTGTGTGGCTAATACCAAGGAAATGTTATCTTACCTGAATTACCGGACAGCTTCCTAACTGCTCCTCGTACCTCTTCCAGTCAATTCTCTAGCTCGACCTCCAAGATATTTCTGGTAAGTTATCCTCTACCTGAAAGTCTTCCAATTACATCATATTGTCATTAGGGCAAAGTTCAAACAACCTCTCAATTGATCTTCAAGGCCACGTTAGTGGGTGGTGTACCAGCCCTGCCACTTCGCCGCCATACCATCCTGAGAGTGCTGCTCTGAACTGGACTATGTACAAGTCCCAGATGCTCTCTCCCCTCTCTGCTCCCATCTTTGCATGCATGGGTCCACTACCTCCTTTTCCTTGCTCCTCTCATCCCTAATACTAGCCTGACTAACTACTACACCACCATCGGATTACAGTTTCCATGTCTCCCCTCTCCCCCCCCCACAAGCTTCCATTGATATCCTTCTGGACTTGATGGGTATACTTGCAGCAGGTAACTGTTCAGCACATTATACTAAACTTTGTCCATTGTAACTGTTGGTCACTTGTCTGTTTCTCCCACATGTATGTGGAGGCTATATGTTCTTTACCACCATATCTCCAGTGTAACAATTGTGCATATAGTAGGCGGTCATTAAGTGTTCATTGACTTAGAAAGGAAATACAAATTTTGAACATATAAACATATGCTCAAATTCACTTGTTTTTAAACAAAATCGATTTTAAACTATAAGATGCCATTTTTAAGAATAAATAATTTGAAAACAGTGGTATTCGTGAGGGGTTAGGAAAACCAACATTTTTCTCAAATTGTTGGTGTAGTTTGGTATAGTCTCTCTGATCAGAAATTTGGAAATCTCGACCAATATTTGAAATGCCAATCTAATTAACCTAGCAGTTATGCTTCTAGGAATTTACCTGATATCCTTGTGGTTGTATCAAAAATTTAAGGCTGAAAATAATGTAAATGTTTGTTAATATAGGACTAATTACCTAATGTATTATTTACCCAAACAATGAAATTATCTGTAGCCACTACGAGGAAGAAGGCAAACAGATACATATTAATATAAAACTATTTCAAAAATACAACTTATAAAACCCCAGGGCTTAGAGTACTTTGTATGTTACCATTTACACACACACACACAAAAGAGGATAGCTACAGATACAATATCTCAGAAAAAATACATAAGAAAACAGTGACACTCTGTCAGAGTTGAATGGCCTTAGCTAGAATCTTGAGTTTTGCCTGATTAAATCAATGCATACCGCCAGGAGACGGTCTGCCTCCCAGGCTAACAGGAAAGCCAACTGGAACAATCAGGTGTGTATTTGTTTGTTTAAAGAGTGTATCAAGAAAGATGGACTGCTAAACAAAGGAAAATAGGGTTAAAAAAATGATCTGAGCATGCACTCGAATTTAAGACAGAGAGAATGAGAGAAACCTACACCTAAGAAACACAAATAATTCCAGCATGAGACAAATGAATTCTTGTTGTGGGATGGCCTTCTGAGAAGTTACTTAAAATATCAGTTATCCTTTAAAACAATTTATTTTCCTTCTTGTTTTCCAGTGGTCACTAAGCAACCTTCATTCACCTTCTTAGTCACCTTGCATCTAAAAAGTAGAATCCTTGAGCATGGGTCAAAAGCACTCCAATCACAGGAAAGGAAACTGAAGTTCAGGTTTTAAAACGCCTCTTGCATGATTCTGAATAACGTTAAATACATAAACAAGAAAATGAGCTTCTCTCAGTTTATTGAAACACGCTGCTTCTGCTCCCAGCCTTTCCCTGGAAAATCTCTCCATCACTGGAACCAAAGCCATACCTCACTAGGTGGGCTCCTTATGTCATCTTTCTATTGTTAATTACGATTCAGTCTAAAACAGGTATCAGCCCAGTCTTAAACACCAAACTTGAATCTCCTGAATTCTAAGCCTGATCAAAAAAGGCTTCAAGCATGAAACTTTAAAGAAAGAAGAAAAAATATCTTAGAATTAAGATTAAACTGTAAGACCAGTAATAAAGAGGACTTTATATCTCACTTTTTTTTAAATGTATGTAGTGATCAGGAATTCTCAGGGACTAGCACAGAATCATCGTTTTGTTTTGTTTTGTTTTGTTTTGTTTTGTTTTGTTTTAGAAAGCAAGTAATACATATAAACCACAAACACACACACCATTTAGGATCTAGGTTATTTATAGACCAACCTAAGGTTAATAGAGCTTTGGAAAATACTGTCACTAAAGGAAAAAAGAAAGGGAAATTTCCAGAGTTGAGCTGCTGTGTGTAAGCTTATTCCTGCCTCTACAAGCTTTACACTTGCTTCTTTTGCTGCCTGGAATGCTTGACCTCCAAGACTCCCAAACCTTCTCAGTTCACAGAATCTTCAGCATCTTAGTAACTATTTTTCCTGGCACCTCTAGACCAAAAGAAAAACCTAGCATTTAGGTTTATTAGATAATCAAGTGCTAACAATTTAATAAGCATGTGTGTCTTAACAACTTCAGTTGCTGTTTAAGAAAGATACACATAAATTGAAAAGAAAAAATAATGTTTGTATTTCGCTCTTAAATAGCCCCAGTTACTTACTCACCGGCTAGTAATGGGCACAGCATAACTTCTCAAACCTTGGAATCATATTCTACCCCACCACTCCCATTTCCTGTTCCACAGTGATTTTCACGTGGCACTGCTTTTTATCAGAGCAAGCACTGAAAAACCCACTCTGCCAAGATAATAATGTCACTGAAAAAATGTAGCAAGATCCAGTGTTGAAACTGTCAACTACCTTGAGCTAGTAATTTGCATGGTGTCTAAGAGATTGAATATCACTGTTTCCCCTGACATTTTAAAATATCTTGCAATGCCCTTGTGAATTCATAGCACAGACCTGAGCACCTCCATGCACAGTTCAGAAACCGTGGCTCTACCCTAAAGTTTTTGCATGGTGTTATTTTTGCGTGGGTTCCCTAAAAAACAGATTCTCAGGCAAAGCTTATGAGCCAAGGCTTTATGGAGAACTGTAGTACCAGGACTTTATGAAAGGAAAAGAGAAGTAAGGTAGAAAAAGAGGGAAAATAAATTCGAAGTGGTGAGTATGAGATGGCTGCGTCCTCACAGATAAACATACCTGGTTGCCTGGTCACCAGAACTTCATCCAGACAGAACTTACATCATCACTGTATCTGGGAACATTCTGTCTGCAGGAGGAAGGGGAATTTCTCTGCCAGTTTCTTCCTGTCTCCTGACTCCTGTCTCTCAGGGTTTAAGTCTGTCTCTCAGGGAATTGACTCACCCTCACTTCCAGGTTGTATCACTGGCTCCTTAGGTCAGCTGCTAGGGAACCCAGCATCCTGCGGCACAGC